GGAAACTGGCCACCAGCTATATTGGGTGCGTGGGTCGAGACGAATACGGGAAACAGCTAGAGAAGGCGGCCGCGGAGGACGGGGTGAAGGTCCAGTACATGGTGGTGGTCGATAAGCCCACTGGGACGTGTGCTGTTGTCGTGACGGAAAAGGTTCGATCGCTGGTGGCAAACCTGGGTGCCGCCAACTCGTACAAGGTGACCCACTTGCAAGAAGCGGAGAACTGGAAGCTGGTGGAACGTGCCCGAACCTGCTACATTGCAGGTTTCTTTCTCACAGTATCGTTGGACTCCATCCTGGCCGTCGCGAAACATTTCTCGGAGAACGAAAAAACGTTTGTCATGAATCTCTCTGCTCCGTTTATCAGCCAGTTCTTCAAAGACCAGCTCCTTCAAGTGATGCCCTACATCGATATTCTCATAGGAAACGAAGCGGAGGGCGCTGCATTCTCCGAGGCCATGGGCTACAACACAAAGGATCTAAAGGAAATCATCCAGAAGGCCGTCGATCTCCCGAAAGAGCGAAAAGACCGTCCACGTGTGGTCATTTTCACACAAGGCCCCGACCCGATTCTCCTGTGTAAAGACGGCAAGGTTACCGAATTTCCAATCCTTCCTGTCGCAGAAGAGGAGATCCTCGATACTAATGGAGCAGGAGATGCGTGGGTTGGGGGACTCCTCTCCCAACTAGTCTTCGGGGCCAGTATTGAGGAGGCCATCCACGCTGGAAACTATGCTGCCAATGTCATCATCAAGCGCTCTGGTTGCACGTTCCCTGAAAAACCAGACTATAAACCTCCACAGTAGTCCACAGCCAGTGTTTTCATTCCACAAAACAAAAAGATTAACTTATTTGTGTGACAACTGGATTTGATTACCTATTATTGGGCATAAATAAACAAAACGATTTTTAAGAATGCCATAACATTGTTGTCAAAAGAGATCAAAAGCATCAACACTATTACACAAAAAAGAAAGGACCCTATAATAATACACACAATGTATATCATTTATGCACAACACAAATGTGTAAAAAACTGTCCGGGTATGATAAATTTTCACTAAGCCACTGAATTGGAGTCCGAACTGAGAGCTCGATCCCGTGAATGAGGACACAGTGCTCTGGGGGGAACACAAGTATGCCACAATAGTAGGTTGTGCTATACCTAGAGAGTTGCATAAAGATAGCTGCTGGCCGCTTTATATGTCCATGTCACCAATAATGCCTCTCTACCATGACCTCTGTAAAGAGGGCACCTTCCTAATCAGATCACTTTTTCACATACAGCCTAGTGCTATTGGCAGTTTTCACTGTAATTACGGCATTAACTCCTGAGCCTACATACGTATAATACTGGACTAATAATCTACAGTAAGTTAAAACTATCATCCATCAGGTATATATATACACACACACATATACCTTCTGTTAGAGGAAAGCTTGCACTGTAGAGTTTTATGATGTCTTCCAAAGTGTTCTCCACTATTTCTGGGGAATATCACGATACGTTGCATAAAACCTGGACACAGAGGAAAACAGTGTCTCACGGTCATCGGGAGAAGCCTTTGGCCTGTGTGGTGGGAGGAGCCTCTGGAATAATATCTTCCCATCCTGGACGGCAAGTTACATACATAATCCGCAACGTTATAATACACACAGTACAACATGCCTGGTAGATGCAGAAAGGGATGCTCCTGAAGGGCTCGTGTTCCGATCGAGTGCTCAGCATCATCTTCTTGTTCACCGCCCAAAACTCATCGTAGTTATCTGAGTATGGACACAATAATTACATAACTGTACTTTTTTTACTTTAGGAAGTATATATATACCAGTGCACACCACATAATCTGCATAATGATTCTAGCGCTGTTCTGCTACATCAGAGGTCAAGCATAACGGAAGGAATGAAAGACACTAAAGTGTAAACCCCCACCGCACTAGACGCGCGCGGATGTCTGCATTGCGCATGCGCGGGTCGGTACCACTGATGGATGGGATGTAATGTTTCACTCGTGTCGTAGTCTCTAGCTAACTCTCTGAGTGTTAGATAGCGTCTTAGGCATAGCGAGACTAGCGCTGTAACTCTCGAACGCAGCAGTTGCAGAGAAAACCATACATATATTTTGTCCTATACCCAACGCTGAATACGTGGTATATATTGTTTGTGGAGCGATTCATGATGTCGAGGTACGGACAGACGGACACACAGAGCAACGACTGTAACCCTCACTGCACATGCACGCGGAGGGTTAAATATCTAATCACTAACTCTCAGAGAAGCCTTTCCAGATTTGCCCAAACTCCTGCGCCGTTAGCTTCTGAATAATCTCCGACTTGTGCTTTGCAAAGTCAGCCTAAACGAGAGAATAACAACATTTAAAGAGCAACTGCTGGTAACATACTCTCTGTCAGTGTGTACATGCATTGTGCAAAGTAGAGTCAAACAACAATTATTATATGGCATACCTCCTTTAGTTTTGACTTGAAGTGAGCTTCCACCGCCTCTTTGCTCTCACAGTGCAGAAGGATATCTTCGGGAAAGTTCTAGAAAAGAAGTGTAAGACAGGGGCAAGCGAAAAGAGGGTCAACTGTAAGTAAGATGCAACCAAGGACTTACTCTGAAATGGACTGTGATCTCCCAAGGAAGGTTCTGGCCTCTCCCATACAGGTCATACAGGACACCCACGGGATAGTGCCTGGGGTCACACAAACACACACACATACATCAATCAAAAATACTGGTAATTGACCCATGACACAAGGTCCACCTACCACTTGAGGGGTGTGGCTTCAGCCGAGACCCATACCTCGTCCTCAACCTGTCTCCCGGCGGCTCGAGAGTACAGCTTGTCCAGCTTCTCGTAGACCAGGGGTAGGTAGCTGACTCTCGGGATCATCATCTGAGGGACAACACAAGCTACACTGTATGCTACATTGGCTAACATCCTGCATCACCCCGGACGAAGTTTCTAAATTGTGCCCACCATATATGTTTTTACGACGTCAAAGAACAATATTATGCTTGCAGCGGCTTGCAGTGAAGCATACTCACGTAGCAAGGCTGTGGAGCTACTCTGTCTCCTCTGATAGACATGGTTACTTCGTCCTCGTCCAGCTTGAAGCACACAGGGATCTTCCCGTCCCACAGTTCGCGTCTCACGCCCTCGTCTCCCATGTTTTGCCGCCCGAGATTCGGCCAATTGAGTGTCCTCGGCCTTTAATCCTATAGACGATTGCCTAACATGTCCAGTCAGATGCTGCAGGCTTTGGCTCAAACTTCTAGGACTGGCCAGAGGGGGATGGCGGCGGGTGTTATTAAGATAAGCGCAAGGATAAGCGCTCATAATCTACGGTCCATACTGAAACGTTCATACGCCGGTGTTTCGGCACCGGGTATGGAACGGGAGTTCGTCGGCCGGCTGGTTGCACGTCCAGGTTCCAGGTTTATAACCACGCCCATCAATCAGTTCAGTTCAGTGTTTTGGCAGGTAGGTGGCAATGTCACTGGCATCAAGGCTAGCTCTAGTGACGGGTAAGAGTACCTATGTACATATAGTGGCCCAGTAGTGCACTTATCTATGACCATAATCACTGTGGCAGCATGCAGAGTGTTGTTCGAATAGATGGATAGAGACCACACCCCTCCTCTCCTGAACACACACGACTGCAGGAGGAGGCACAGGAATCGGACGAGCAGTGTGCCAGCAGCTGGCCAGAGAGGGAGCATCAGTAGCAGTGGCCGGCAACAACCTCTCCGACTGCGAAGAGACAGTCTCAACTATTCGGGCAGAGTCCGGGAGCTTCGATGCCTCCTTCCACCCAGTGGAGGTGGACGTCTCAGACTCGCACCAAGTCTCTCGTCTTTTCTCTTCCATAGCCAGCAAATTTACTGGTAATCCTACTTCCGGCAATGGGAAACATACTACAATGATCCCACTTACAGGTTAACCAATTTAGCAAAAGTGTGGCCCACTCCACCTTTCTGAACTGAAATGATGAAGATTTGATAGTAGTGATGTAATGGAATGTGGGTACAAGTGTGCAGTAGCATAAGGTTCCCAAACTTTGAAAACTTCCCCCAGGCAACCTGCAAGGGAGTTGGTACACTGCATAAGGCAGTGTGTGGTCTCCACATTCACTTCACTTCCTAGTGTGGAGTAGCACCTTTGAGTAGCCCATGTTCCAGAGTCAAAACACACTCAAAGGTTGAACCAGGGGATGTGGCTACTGCCGTGTTTTCCCCCATGATGCAGGTGGTCCTCAACTGAGTGCGGTGGTGAATGCTGCAGGAATCACACGAGACAAGAATCTACTGAAAATGACAGAACAAGCATACGATGAAGTCATCAAAATCAACCTAAAGGTGTTATTATAGCATTCATTCATACCTTAGCAGCACCAGTTGTAAGCACTTGGTTAGACTAAAGGTATATATGTCAGCTAATACACTAAAGTTAGACTAACAATGGTGTTTAGATTAAAGACAGCGTTTTCATTCAGTGTGTGCAGCTTCGTTACATTATCTGCCCCTGTCAGGGAACATTCCTGGTGTCTCAGGCTGCGGCCAGGCTCATGGTGGAACACAGTGTGACAAATGGTTCCATTGTCAACATTGCCAGCATCACTGGGAAGGTCTGTGGTCTGTGGTACTGGGCCTTCATTGAGCTCTCCTTTCCATGAATGAAAACTGGCTTGAAAAAGTTTGTTCACTGTCTCTCCGATGTGTGTGTGTGTGTGTGTGTGTACAGCTGGGAAACTTTGGCCAGGCAAACTACAGTGCATCCAAGGGAGGTGTTATGTCTATGACTCTAACGTTTGCCAGGGAGTTGGGAAGGTCAGAGCTGGCTGAAAACTACTGTTTCATCTCTTACTTACTCGTCTCTCTCTCTCTCTCTCTCTCTGTTTTCCCCTGTTGTTCATTTCTCCTGTGTTCTCCTTGTTATTTCTTCTCTTTCACTCGACTCTCCCTTTCCGTTACTCAGACACGGTATTCGCTGCAATGCAATCCTACCAGGGTTTATCAGCACCCAGATGACTGATGCTATACCAGAACCAGTCCGCGAACAGGTTAGATGCTGTAAAACTGAGTTCAGAATGACATTGCTCTTTTGATATTCGATTTGATGAGCCTTTATGCATGAACGACAGGGGTATTTCCACTCACATCAAAATTTCACGTACCGTTGCCCATTCGTGAAAATACCCTGGTGGCCGAACCCAGGTTCCAAGTGCCACGTGAAGAGGGGTGGATGAGGAGGCACTACATGGTACACATATGCACACCTGCCAACTGGACTTTGAAGGGCTTATTTAGCTGCAATATTCCCGGAGGCATTGTGTTTCGCTGCAGAACATGCCTGGAATAATACTCTAGTATAAGTTATAGACGGGAATACGAGCGGTGGACAAAAGACGTAATTTCCTGGATTCCGGGACACGTTGCTAATTTCCGGGACAATCAAGGGAAATCTGGGACGGTTGGCAGCTGTATGAATGTGGTGGTATATTATGATGTGTGTATACCTCTCCAGCAGTACTTTACTAAGCATATGTCCAGACATCCCGATTTCAAGCTCCTGCCTTACTTATATCCCGTTTACCAGGTTAGGACCCCTTAATTGAACGTTGCTGGCTGTTTGCTATTCTCGCTTCATCAAATACATCTACGCAAAAGGCAACTGGGCGAGACCACCTGTCCTTTTTGGAACATTCTTACGTGCTCAGTTCTCTTGTTTTGCCAAGAATTATCTTCATATTTGTTTCCCTGCCTAGATTAAGCAATTTGTGTCCCTGGGAAGATTTGGAAGACCAGAAGGTATGTCTATATATACACATGTATGTATGACGATGATACTGTAGGTGCTAAGTGATGGAGACTATATTGGCACATAGAGGGTGTGACTTGTTTTGTGTGGGGGTATATAGGGGGTGGAGGAGTGGTTATTCCACCACCTCCAGTTGGCATAGGGCCCTAGTACATACATACTGTCTCCCAGTGCAGTGCTAAAACTACCGTGCCAAAATTATCTTCAACACTATGGGTTGCAAACCACGTGCCATGCAAGATGGTTGGTGCTTCCACACATACCCTTAACTGTACCAAGTGTCCAAATTTCCACAATTTATTACAGACTGTAGATTTGCACCACTTATGTTAGAAGCCACGATGCATATTTACACCAATTTCTGTTACAGGCAAAATTATGCACCCACCAAGAGCATTAGCCACGGCAAGTGGATGAATGTCTAGATTTTAACAACAGTCTGCCAACCTATTAGTGGCCAGGCTTGTGTTGATGCTCGCCCTGCCTCCAAAAATGGGCCACTGAAATATTTTCCCACCCACGTTACACGGCTTTACTTTGAGCGTCATCTGGTGGAGTGCATCGCGGGAGTGCTCGTAGACTCTAACAATGGAATTGACACGCATACTGTCACATGTATGACCTCTGTGTCCACACACTCATGCTCCTTATGCCTGCTTCGTACGGATGTTCTTACCAGAAGTGTTTCACTGCACAAGTCGTCATGTCAAGTCTGAGATTGTATGTCACTTAAGCCATTGAAGGCTAGGGTTGGGCTCTTTATGGCATTCAACTGGTCCAAATAGAGACTAATGCCAATTGGTTTTCATTTCAGCACCAATGTATAATGTATACCTGGATAACAAACATGAGTTGATTCGTCCATTAGATGCTAGGATGTACCCATAATACTAGTGTGTGTGTGTTGGATTTTACCTCTACAGGGATTCCCATACTGTTAGCCAAAATAGCCAATGGCTACACTTTTTAAAATTGGCTACAAAAGTCGCAAGAATTAGCCAATTTTTGCTATAGTAAGTATGGCACGTGCACAGCACATGATGAACTTTTTACCGAAACTAGCCATATTGGCTAATGGTTTCGTTTCTACTGTAGGAGTCCCAGCCTTTACCTCATCAGTACGTGGGTGCAAACGGCACTCACCTGCATGTAAAGTCCAGACAGTTATGTAATGCATATAAAGCCAGTGTTTGTCCTGCCGCCTGACCCGACTACTACCACAAGTCTGCACACATTGCCTACAAAGGCATACTTGGCAGGGATTCTAGCCAGCAGTGTTGGTGGAAATGGGCTGACCCTACCACTTCATAGGGGTAATTGCTGGCCCTTTGCAGCAGTGCATACATGGGAAGGCTCATTTGCCTCCCTATAATGTGGGCTCCAAGGATCCATGTTTATGCAGCAAAGATATATAGTATTTTGCCACAGTTATGTGCTAACGAACTATACGGCAGACTAATTAGTATACCTTACTCTGTAACACCTTCCTTTTGCTCACATCTCTGTTTCCTGTGCATATGGTGCTTCTCTTGATCCTGCTGTGCATGTCATGTGTGCTGTTTCTCACTCCTTCTTGTGTCTGTGTGTGCACTGTTGTTTGCAGAGGTTGCAGAGCTGGTAGCCTTTTTAGCTTCTGACCGGAGCAGTTACATTACTGGTTCACTCATTGACATCAACGGTAATAAACACACGTCTTAAAATGTTTTGTTGACGTGTTTACGTGGGCACCGGTTATCAAAAACCTAAATGGACCTCAACTATGTAACGTGCTCTGTTGTTAGAATTGCATTGGTCGAAAACCAAACCTAGCACATTCCTCGTCGCCCACTACACAACACTCTTGACCTTATGTGGAACCTGGACCTGTGGTCTGCGGTTATAATTGAATTGTCGCTTATCTAAACCTGCTCCAAATAGGGCCAGGGTACTCACATGTCTGGAGTTGTCGAGTCGCCACCCATTTAGGCCCAGTCTCAGCACCACCATGTGCCCCCACGCTAGGATGGAATTACATCTTGGCCTGCCCACCTGACCCTTGGTTTTGTAATTGCACTCTGCCAAGTGTAGTTCTATAGTTGGTCTGTCAAGTGTTAAGCTATACATGTTATTGTGCTGTAGTTCGGGAATGTTACTCATAAAGCAGGTATAGCTATAGGCAATTTAGTTTAATGATTGTGAATGGGCAGGTTGGAGTGAGAGCCAGATTTCTAAGGCATGCTGGCATCCAGCCTTGTAGTCTCAGTCTACATACCTTATCTGGCCCCCTTCAGCCAGATACCAGCCTATAAACAGTCCCAAAGTACAAAGTGGTATAGATATAGTAGGGAAGACAACTGGAACAATGGTGGGTGGTCTGCACTGAACTCAACAATTGATTATTCCTGGCTATTTTTGGTGCACTTATGTTGCCTTGGGCAATACTATGGACAAAACATGTGTTGAGCATTAAGGCATTTGGTCATCCTTCCATAATATGAATGGTGTGGGCAGGGAGGAAATCTGCTTTGGAATGCTACATACCACAATAATACCCTCTCTACTAACACACTGTGTATATACTTTCAGGAGGACTCAGTTACTAATTCCATTCAGAGGCATTACACAAGACTGATTATGAGCTTAGATAGTACAGAACAGAGACTGGTGCAAGTGATACAAGATGTGTACGTGTATAGCAGACTGAGTGGACTAAGAGATAAATAGCACTGAATGTAAAATAGAGTGATAATCATAGAGATACGGTTTTTTTTTATTAAAAAAAGTTGTTTTCATTATCTGAAGTGAGGGTGAACCAAAGTGAGAAGCGTAAAATGAAGTGACAGGAGTAGATAAGTAGTACAATACAGATTGAGTAAGGGGTGCTTTTTCTCCTACAGTAAAGATTGTAGAGTGTGAGAGTGTGTCGGTCTGCCAGTTCCTCGTTCTCAACTACACTGCTGGCACATCCTCGTGTAGGCCAAAAACAGACGAGAATACACTTCCTCAAAGTCTCCCCTCATGAACGGATCGTGCACCCAGCAGCGGAGCATTACGTCATATATGGCGTCGGGGACAATGGCCGGTCGTGCTGGACGCTGGCGTCTGTCCCCCTTCATGGCGTCAGCGATTAATTCCTCGTCGATTAACTCGTGGTAGGGCTCGTAGCGAGCGAGGGTGTGTATCTCCCACATGGTGATTCCAAACGCCCACACATCAGACTTCACTGAAAACTTGCCATAGAACGATTCGTATGCCATCCATCTGATGGGGAGAATAAGCTTCCCGTGGACCCTGTAGTAGAACGATTCATAGAGCTTGCGGCTCATGCCAAAGTCGGAGATCTTGACGACAAAGTCGTGGCCCACTAGGCAGTTGCGGGTGGCAATGTCGCGATGGACAACACGCTGCGAGGCCAGGTAGCGCATCCCGCTGGCGATCTGCACCGTCATATAGAGTAAAACGAGGGGGGATATCTCGTTTTCCTGCAGGAGGCTCACCCCGTCATCCACCAGGTTCTGCTTCTGAAGAAACTCATTGAGATCCCCATTCTCCATATATTCCATCATAATGAAGGGAGTGCCCACCATACACACCCCCAGCAGATGCACCACGTTCGGGTGGTGCAGCCGAGCCATGTACTTTATCTCTTTCTCAAAGGAATCCCGCAAGTTCTTGCCTCCATCGGGGCTCAACTTCTTGATCGCTACCAGGAGGCTACGGTGTTTGTCGTCGTTCTCCCCGAGACGTATATCCTTGAAGCTGAGACCGACCGTCGCTGCAAGGGAGACCATTCCAAATCGTCCCACTCCGAGGTCTCGGATCTCTATCACGCTCTCGGGCATCACGTGTAGGACATCGTCTGTGTTCTTCAGCGGTTTTGGAACGTCGTAGATTGGGCCGTACGGGAGTGGGTGTGAGCTTCCGTGCTCCGACTGTGGCATGCTGTAGAGCATCGATGGCTCCAGCTGCTCTTGGTAGATCTGGTCAAAGGGGGAAGGCTGAACAGGGGATTTGAGGGAGGATGTTCGCTGGAACGGTGGAGCCGTTCCGTTCCTCTCCCTGTCGTGGTCATGTGAACCGAAGGTTCTGACGGACTGACTCCTCATCGAGCGCTTGGGTATGTTCTTAGTAGTGGGAGTCATCTCAACCTCATCATAGGGGTTTGGGGTGGAGCCCCCATGGAATTGGGTGCCGTTTCGGGAGTCTTTTCTTCCAGGAACAACTCTACCGTCTTCGTCGTACATGGCTTCTGGGACATCGTAGAGTTTGCTGTTTAGTCCACCGTATTCGGCTGCCAGGGAAGGCGGTGGGGGAGGGAGGAGACGGAACCTTTCCAGCAGGTCCACGTCTCGGTAGGCCAGTATCTCCCTCGGCTCCGGGAGCTGGTTAGAGGCATAGTGGAGGGGAACAGCAATGGTGTTTGTAGCTGATATCGGTGGCTTCAGTGGAGGCAAACTGGGCTTGTGTCCATTGACAGGAGACAATTTGTTGAGTTGGGAATAGTTCGCGTCGGTGGGGTTGGCGAATCCTGTCGTCTGCATGTCGCTAAAGTTCGAGTTCCTTCTGCGGCCGGTAAACACCAAGTCCTGTGTCTTTTTCTTCCTCTGCGAAAAGAAACAGAGGGCGCAGACGATGAAGAGAATGAGGAGGAGGACCGAACTGGCCAAGATGGCGGCCGCAATGATTATTGCAGTGGGAAGGTCTGGTCTGCCAAGTGAGGGGTTGTCTGAGGTGCGAGTGTTAGTCGGAAGGAGACTGAGGGTAGTAGACGGTACAATGTCTGCAGGAGAGTTGGTGACACTGTTTCCTCCCTGGGCTGGCCCTACAGACAATGACATATACACACCTGCATACACTTCATGTGTAACACACAATGGTGGAAGCTATACATTCAGAGCCTATTGTGAGCCCTGACACATTTATATGGCCTGCTGTGTACACAAAGACTGCAGAAACTACATGGTACATATTGGGTGTAGTTCGGTGCCACTAAAGGCAATGTTTGCAAGGAATGAAGCCAAGTATGCAGCTTGTTGATAGGGTTTAGGGCCAGCAATTAGCATATCTGGGTGTATGGTGACAGTGTTGGCTGGTTTCTGCTGTGTCCAGTGGTAGCTGGGTGTGCATGAAGCTTTGACTAACACTTACGAAGCTGCCCTCTCTTTAAATAACTGACATGATGCACAGACTTTGTATGGTGAATTACACTGTGGATATAAAAGCCTACTTTCAGTAACACAGCATATGCAGAAAGTTTGTTAATCTCTCAAGTGTGAGTTTAATAACATACGAAGATAAGTACATATATCATACACACACACACACTATAGAGCCTAATATACACACAAATGCACGCATGGTATTCACATTATTGAGTGCAGAATTATCGAGTGTACTGTTTTAGCGGCGTAAGTGTGAGAATACACATGGGGGGGTATTGGACTACATGAGGGGTTGAGGTTGGGTTGAACTATTACAAAGCCTGTCGAGTGTATATCATGAAGAGACGAGAATAAATCTCGCCAAAGTCTGCTCTCATCGATGGTTCGTTGACCCAGCAACGCTGCATGATCTCGTACACCTCCTGCGTGCACGTAGTCGGTCGTGGTAAGATCTTCCTATCCGGTCCCCGAATGGCATCTGCGATAACCTCCTCGTCTGTCATATCTTCGTACGGATCAACTTTTCCCAGAGTGTAGATCTCCCACAGCGCTACTCCAAACGCCCAAGAGTCCGACTTGACCGAAAACTTGCCGTAGAAAGTCTCGCAGGCCATCCACCGAATGGGTAGCACAAGAGTGCCCTGTACTCTGTAGTAGGCCGACTCGTAGAGGCTTCTGCTCATCCCGAAATCTGAGATTTTCACGATGAAATCTTTGCCAACGAGGCAGTTTCGTGTGGCGAGGTCGCGGTGAACGAACCGTCGGGAGGCCAGGTAGTGCATCCCACTGGCAATCTGGACGCCGATGTACAGGAGGATGATGGGAGTAACCTGATTCTCCTGGAGTCCACTGATGCTGTCTGACATGAGTGCCTGTTTCTGGAGGAACTGGTTGAGGTCTCCGTTCTCCATGTACTCCATCATGATGAACGACTCGGAGCCCGTACAGACTGCGAGGAGACGCACGACGTTGTCGTGTTTGAGTCGAGACATGAACTTCACTTCCTTATCAAAGGCCTTCATGAGACCGCTCTCAGCGTCCAGCTTGAGTTTCTTGATTGCAACGAGGATGCTTTTGCTCGTGTCACTGTCCGTTTCGCTCAGACTCATGTCCCGAAGGCTGACCCCCTTTGTTTTTGCCAGAATTACCTGCCCAAACTGCCCCGTCCCCAGTTTGCGGATCTCAATGATGTTGCTCTTGATCACCTTGAAAGGTTCCGGGACGTCTACGTCGGAGAAGGGATTCGCGGGATCATCGTAAATGGCAGAGTATGGGACAGCCTCTTCCGGCATCATGATTCCTTCGACGATGTTTGATCGCAGCATGGTCGGATCGAGGGGCTCGCTGTAGATCTGGTCGTAGTCTGGTTCTCCCGACAGGTCAAACCCGTCTTGGTAACTAGGGTAAGCAAAGTCTGGGTTCTTCTGCTCAATCTGGCGATGGAGCGACCCGCTGAGTACGACTGCTGGGGACGGGACACTCCTCATATCAAGAGTGCTCGTTTTTGAGTTGAGCGGGAAGGATTCGACCTCATCGTAGGTCGAGCCTGCCTTCGATTTCTTGGGTGGAGGGTTAGTGGGTATTGCTGGGGCCCTAGACGGCTTGATATCCTCTGGGTTGTCGTAGTACGGGTCGTACTTGCCGCCAGTTGAGTCTAGACACTCGTAGTCTGGGGCTGGGGTGTTGGGTGGCGGAGAAACCTTGTCCTTTGTGTTGGCATGGTGGGGACGGTCGTAGCCCATCTCTACATCTTGCTCAAAGTTGGTTCGATTCGGAGGGTTGTGCGGTGTGGGAGACACAGACATCTTGCTGGGAATTGGGTAGGCCCCTCCGTTTAGAGCAGCGTAAGTGTCCCCATTCCCAGATATCGTTTGGGAATGTGCCCTCCTCCGGAACGACACGACGATTATGATGACTATGAGGATGATGACTATGATGCCCAACACGCCGGCTATCGCCCCGATGATAATGGGCAGCGGTATGCCACTGGCGGGAGCCTTTGTACTGGTGGGAGGGCTGGGGCTAGTCATACTACTGGAGCTACTTGTGCGGTCGTTTGAACGGCTGGTTGGCTGGACAGTTGAAGGATTTGGGCCTGGGGAGGATAATGCGGAACAGCGAGTCTCATCACTGATTCAAAAGTGCACACACTACCTAGTTAGAATTCCGTTTCAGATTTTTTTAGTTAACTGACACAAGGCCAGGGCATACCTTGTTGTGGTATTTAACAAAGCCAAGGCCCTTCCAACAACTGTGCCAGCCAGACTGCCAAATTCCATAAGATTACTTCCCTTTGACAATGGGCCACCATAGACGATTTTGGCACAGTACACACAAATACAACCGTGACTATTGTCAGCCAAAAGTGTGCTTTTGGAAGCACAAGAGGCTTGTTTAGAGCACAAGGGAGGGGAAGTGCTCCATGAGTGTGAGCGCTAACTGCTCTTGTGCAGCTTGAAACGGAATTCTATAGAATATATTACTGATGTAATTGTACCACTTACCACTGCTCTCCACAGCCAGCTCAATGCCCTGGGAGTGTTGGGTATTTCTAATGGCACAGGTGTAGGTCCCAGAGTCTGTCGTCTGAGGCTGTGAAATAACCAGAGTCGATATCCGACTAAATCCTATTGCGTCCCCTCCAAACTGCCCCATGCCACTCCCATCGGTGTAGGTGATAGAGTGTCTCCCAGAGCCGCTGGTTATGGACTGTCCATCTCTGAACCACTGGAGGTCTTCATCAGGTCTCAGGTACAGGGACATCTCACAGCTCAGGGACACTCCAGTTGCATTGTCAAATGTAGAGATCTCCGTTTCAATAGAAGCCAATTCCACTATGGAAAGTAGAAATCACATTTTAAGTAGCAACTCTGCTAATGCTTAAAGACGCTTACCCAAAAGTTGAAGATGAACTTGTGCTTCTACCCATGGCCCACGGTTTGAAGGGTTACGGTTGTCTCTGGCTCGACAAGTGTACACGCCAGCATCACTGTATATCAGGTGTTGGACAACCAGCGCGGTTTCCAAGTCGCTTACTTCACTGTCCCCCTGGGTCAGGTCATATTTACCGTCATTGCTTCCAGGTGATTGGACCTCTGCACCCGTAGTTATGTTCCACCGTGATTCTACCCATGATGTGATATTCAGTTCGAAGTTAGTAAATATGTCACATCTCAAAGCTGCAAAAAATATCGGTTGTGATGAAGGATCCATTGGCTGTGTTCTACTGAACGGTTGGATAGTCACATCTGTGATATATAGGATTCATCATGTGTAAAATACACAAAGACATTTTAATAAAGACTCACTTGCTACTCCTGTGGATAGTAAGAGAGCAAACAAAATGGCAAGACACTGTATACCCATCCTTCCTGGAGAAGAGAGGGTGGAGTCATACATGTTGGTCATAATGTTACACCAGATACCATGCACACCCTAATATCCACACAATCTTGGCTAAATCTGGCTCTGAAAAAGGCATGTGTGTGTGGCATGCCAGTGGCTCTCATCCGCCATTGCCTGGTACTGATACTAACGCTGCCAGGCAGAAGTTTCATTAATGCATGTCATTGGAATTATCAGCGCAAATGAGAGCCATAAAAGAAAGCAGGAGTGAAACAAACTTGGCAGGGTGGAAGCCCTATAAATAGTAATAGGTCTGTGCCGGACTGAGATCAAAAGCTGAGTGGGTTGTGAACCCAGAGCTAACACGACTGAAGCGCGAGATGGTCTACAGGGAAATCAAAGATAAAAGAGAAAAGCTGAACTGCCACACCTCAATGAATATGATATACAACACATCGTGAATTCGTTCCACAGTGCTGATCGCAACTAACTGGCATTACCGATAGCTACACTGCACATCAGCTGCTGACCGAGAGATTCGTGGAATGCCGCCGAGTGGAGCGCGATTCGCAGCCTCATGCATAATAAGTAGCGACTACGGCCGCCCCGAGATTACCGTCGTTGCAGTTTGGCCAATTTTTAGCACATGGTGTTCGGGGGGTGCTAAACCAGTTCTGTTGCAAATCAGTGGACAACAAACACATGAAACATTCGACTCACCTGCCATCGCACTCTCCTTCAGCTCTTTTTGCGATTATGTGCGTAGAAATGCATTTCTGTGGTAGTTATACAATCAATCGCGCAAAGCGCGTTGTCCACGCAAACCTCACACCCCATAATTCGGTGCTAGAACGTCTGGATCCGGATATCCCGTACTCGGATACGCGCCCACAGCCCGTGACGCGCGTGCGTGCGAGCCGACTGTTTTTCCGCGCAGGGGAGATTAGCTGCCAATGCGCATACAGCTAATTGCAACTTGTGCCGCTCCGGGGACCATCGGTCGCCTCCAAAATATATAGAGTAAACTGCGGGACGACTTCAAAAGGACTGACTGACTCTCGGTTTCGATTCAAAGTTGCCCGAAGCTCTCGCACTCCTTTGGAAACGCAGACAACTACTGCATCAAAGATGCACGTCGGTAATCGTCCCCCGGCCGTTAGTTCAGCCGCAGTCTTCTGGATCGCTTTTACGACTCTCATTTCTGGTTGCACAGCAGGTGAGCTGCCCCATGCATTTATGGTATCTCAAAGCATTCTTGCACGAACTCAAAATTGCGGCGGTGGTTAACCTAATTAACCGCGGAGTCTTTGATAATCACTGCAGAACTGACTGTGGAAGCTGAGCATCAGATGATAGTGCTACCTGCACCCCACACCTCAGAGCCCTACACCATAACTAACATAGCCTGTTTCATATCTCAAACGCCGCACAATGTCCGCTGGATCACCCCCAACGGTACCCATGTCCTCACTCAAGCCGGCCAATATACCGTCAGTAACGGAGGAATCGGACTGGCTACTGGGGAAATGAGATATGGCTCCGTACTAATTATCCAAGACATGTCCTACGAGAATGCAGGTGTGTACGTGTGCGAAGCAATGATGGAAGACAACTGCAGCAGTTTCCCCGAATTTGCAACAATTCAACTCATTCTCAAAAGTAAGCGAGTGTTAGCAGCTGGGCATTCTTGTTTCAATTTGCCACTTTCCAAACAAGAAATGGCGTGACGTAGCTTTCCACGAGGTTCATGCATGCATAATGCTAACTTCATAGGCCAAGGTAGTTAGCTCCGCAGGTGGGCTTGGCCCAAAAGCGGGTGTCAACCCAGTCCCACCGAGCCTTGATCTCTAATTGTTTTTTGATGGGGCTATGACAGGTCGATTTGAAATTGAATACCTGGAACCAGTATTTGGGTTTTCCAGTTGGCAAAACATGTTGGAGCAGAGGCCAAGGCTGTAGACAGTTCACTGCTCAGGTCCAAATGGGATGACATTTTGTTCTAGACAATACCATGTCTGCCGAAGTAGAAAATAACTCCAAGGTGAAAAGCTGCACCAAATGATTGCATGTACCGTGTCTCAAAAAAATTGGTTTGGATGCAAGGAGTGTAAGGATACATTTTAATTGAATTTGTTTCTTTCAGTGCAACTGACAGTGACAAGAGGAGAGGTGGAAGTGTCGTACAATAAGAGTGTGTCCCAGAGCGTCGAGCTCCAATGCGAAGCCAGTGGCTATATTCGCCCAGACAGCGACATTCGGTGGTTCAAGAACGGCCAGCTGATAGTGGAAGGAGAGAAACACAGCATAGATTTCAAAAGACGGCCGCCCAGATGCTGCACAGACTGGCTCAAACGAGACATCACCCAGTCGAATCTCCACACTCACCATCGACAGTATTGAAGAGTCAGACAGCAGTGCCTACTGGTGCCAGTCACTAGTCACCGGAGAGAGAGCAAGCACCAATCTCTATGTGGAGCTGGAGCAAGGTAAATCATCTTGGAGATTGAACAATCAATCAACTACTGATTATCAGGGTGTGTGCTCACTGTAGAGTAGCTCACCCACTCCATATTTAACGATACAGCCCCCACATGACTCCAACATACACCCCCTGCCTGGTTGACGAGCAGTTTGTAAGCATCGGTGGGTGGTTTGGACATGAGCGTGGATGGGTGTTGGCTCTGTTTACTGACTCTACTACTGAGTGCTATAGACAGGCACATTGGTCTGGTGAACAGTAGGTGCCAAACCACTCGTCCTTGGGTTGAGCACTGTAGAATTACTGCAAGTTCCTTGGCAGCATTGCTATACTGTTAAACTTTCACTTCAATGGCAGACTTTGTGCGAACAGGCAGTTTCTCTTGGAAACTGTTGGAGCTAAGTGCCAGCGGAATTTGTTTGCTGGGTCGTTTGCTTGTTGCTGGATAAGGCCCGCCTGAAATTGCACACATGCAGCGTTATAGCAACTTATTGCATCAAAAAGGTGTGTGCATGTGTCACTAGGACACCATTCTTGCTAATGAATGCTTTGTGTGGAGTCTGGATGTGTACAGATGCTCACACTGCCCTAATTCATGCACCAAAAGTGACAGGTGCACTATTTTGAAACAAGCATTGAGCAAAGCAATCGGCATTATTATGCTGACTGTATGGTATTAGAGCACAATACTTGCAGCACCACTAACACAAATATAAAATTGTCTCACAGATCCTGCCTCCACTATAATCCCCACTGAGGTTCCTCCGACCTCACAAACCCCATCTCCACTCACAGATCCTGCCTCCACTACAATCCCCACTGAGGTTCCTCTGACCTCAAACCCCTCACAAACCCCATCTCCGCCCTCTGTAATGACGAGGACTGGTTCTGCCGACTGCTCGGTGGACATAGCTGCTGCTGTCATCACCACTTTCATCTTCACGGCGGCTCTGGCAGCGGTCGCTGGGTTCGTCGTAGCCTGTCTGTGGTTCAAGGGGAGGCACAGCCGAAAGATAAAGTCTGGAGTCTCGTCTCCTGACCTCGGGAGCACTGCTCATGCAACCAGTCACACTAATGTCTCGGAGCAGGTGGACATGTACAGGATCTCCACTGGAGCCGAGCAGGACGAGATGGAGGGGAGCAGTGGGGATACACCAGACTCAAAGTGATTCATCCCTGTGTGTGTTTTTCATTCTTCTTTCTTGAGAGGATTTGTTGAGTTATTCGCAGTTCTATTCACAACCAGTTTTGCATAACCTATGTGCGTGCACGCGCGCGGAACAGTACAGCGTGTGCGCATGCGCACCGCGCCCGAACTTGCCGGGGAAATACGCAGGGGGGCGCGGAAGTATCTAGTCACTGTACCGAAAGGTTTTGGTCGCAACCATGAAGCTCTTCTGCTTTATCTCCGTACTCGTTTTCCTCCCATCAACTTACGAACAAGGTATGTTATGCAGTCAACGTATCAAGGCATGAACGCTAACAGTTTATCTGCAGAATTGAGAGTAGATCCAAATCAAAATTCAGTGTTCTTGCCACCACGAAATGAATTGCCGACGCAGACATCCCTTTCCTGTCGACTGCAAGTGACTCCACCAGGCCAGAGACTGTTTGTGGAGTGGGTGGTTCAGAATGGAGAGACCTCGACCCATTTCTTTGTGCGATTTGGGATCCTAAGAAATGGATACTCGATGCTATTGATAGGGGACGAGATGTTCTTGTTTATTGATGACCTTTCGTATAAACGGGCTGGGAACTACACGTGCCGTGCTCGATTAACAGCAGATGTGCTGTCCCCATTTCAGCTTGCCACAATCTCACTGTTCCTCAAACGTGAGTATATCCCTGTAATCATTAGCTGTAATCAGGTTTAATATTATTCTACTTAGATAAGCTAGAGATATCCCCGGCAGCAGTTTTGGTCAGCAATGAAACTCAGCACGTTGAGATGAGATGTGAGATGTTGCAATACATTCAACCAGACAGTAACCTCCGCTGGTTTAAAGACGGACTGGAGATCTCCAGCGATGGACAGAAGTACGAGATACAGTTTGAGGATGGGGACACCAATGAGGGTGTGGTGAATGGCAGATTCGTACCAAGCCGAGTCTCTGTCCTGGTGGTTTTCGATTTTGATCTGTACAGCGACACTGGATGCTACTACTGTAAGACTGTTGGCAGCTCACAGAGGTCTGAATCTGTGGTTGTTAGTTCAGAAGAACAAGGTATTATATAATTCCCAATTTAGTCTCACGAGTGGAACTAGAGAAACTTCCTCCTTTAGATCCGTTTCTCTGCAAGGAACTCCCAACACTTGGATCATCAGTAGTAATAGGTATTGGGATTGCAAAATTCTCAGTGTGAGCTTATTGTTATTTTATTCTTTTCTACTCAGCTAAAGAGTCCGTTGCTTCTAGTCCAAGTCCAAGTTCCACTGACATCATTTCCACAGCTAGTGTTGGTTACACTCCTAGTCCAACTCCAGGGTTTCCTAACACAAACACCGGCAGCCCTACAACCAGTCCAGGAGGGGATGGGGGAGGAGGTGAAGAGGACCAGCAATCTCCACAGGGAGTGGGAGCTGTCGCTGTTACCATCCCAGCTGGCTTGGTTGGACTTGTGCTGCTGCTCTGTGCTGTTCTTCTGACCATGATGTGCTGCCTACGATGCCATAGAAAAAAACTCGGGGATGGTAGGCAGACAAGTTCTTTGTATAGATGACTTGTAACTACAAGTTTTTATGGTAGGTAATACTGGTGGTGGTTTTCCAGACACCGGTGTTTCTAGTATAACTGTATGGAGTGACGGCATTTCTCCACCAGTGCCGAGTGGTCCTCACCCAAACATGCATCGAGTGAGCCAGAATTCAGCAGAGTACTACATGAACGAAGGGGAAGACCCCGAGAAACCGTACCAATCCATACCACAATACTTGAGCATGGCAAGCTTTTCTGCCCACCAGTGTCTACAGGTCACCTACTTGAACCCTGCCAAGCACGTGTATGATGCTGTACCAGATGAAGGAAAAGCTGCAACACCAGAAGAAGAGTACGTTTTCATTCCCAGTGGGCCAGATGGGGACCACGGTGAAAATAATAATAATGAGTATGTGGAGATGTCTGGTAAAAGTGATGAGGTAGATCGTAAATACATGAACGCTGGTGAAGCTCAAAACTCTGATTTAGCTGAGAATTTGTCCAACAATGAGTACGTGGTTGTTCCCGGCACCATTCAGAGGCCAACCTCTCCTACCAGTATCCTGGCAACAGGGGACAACTCTTCCTCAGCTGATCATAGACAACAGCCAGACAGTAGCATCCTGCCTCCTGAGAACCAGGACCACACATATGACAAACTATCTAGCCAGTAGCAATTAATTTGTTTATTTTACCTGCACATTGTTTTTGTTTACCTGGTACTTTTCATGATGAACAAAAGTGATCCATACAAACAAAACCAGTGAAGGGGAGGTGCTTTCCACCTACTCAGTATGAAGCTATCGTGTGGGTTGATATCTCAAGATCAGAAGAAATGTGAGGCACTATATATGGAATTGTAACAACCCACCCTGCACCCTGTCTAGCGTTGGTCCTATCCTCTGTGCATCTGGTAAACATGCCTGTTGGTTTATAGAGAGGAACTTTCCCCAACAAGAAACCCAAGTGAAGCATATATAGCTACCTATACACCCACTTAAACGTAGGCACATTCGTAAACAGAGAGGCCTTACTAATGTGGTGAGGGGGATGGAGCATCCTCGTGTATAGGTACTCTCCCAGCAGTGTCGGCCCACTTGACAACAATCTTTGTTGATGCTGTCATGAGTGTGTTAATAAAGGTTGGCAGGTGTCTGTGGGATAAGCAGTCCACCAGGAAATGTGATCAGTCAAATTACCACACAGACCAATGATAGAAACATAGTACGTACAAACACAATCTCTTGATATGAAGGAATATAAGGAATAATTCATAGGATTTATGATTGGCTTGTTGGTGTACAGATTTTCAATTGAGGTCTATCATATGCAGGGTAACTTATACGTTTCTATCCTTCTAGTTTTGTGAAAGAGCACCAGCTGGCTATACTTTATGATCAGACTTTTATACAACTTTCATCCAAAGCTTACACATATATAGTATCAATCCCATATTCATACTCAGGAACTTATAAAGTTAAAATGTTCCATGGGGAATACTTAGCATCCTTGTAGGGGAAAAGTCCCACTCTTGACCACAATAGGGAGATTCCAAAGAACTTGCTGAGTATCTCCATTGGCTAGATCACCTACAAGTGGTGGGGGCGTATCCTGTTGCCTCATTATAAAGCACGATACACCATCCACCCTCACACTTTGCTGAGCATCAGTTACTACTGCAAGTAAACTATACCAGACGAGGTACATGGATCGGAACAGATTTACACTTGTTGCTCTTTTTGTAGCATACATGGTCTTGACGCCTTCCACAGGTAAGAGCTAAACAGTCTCATACTCTCTATACTTTAGTACTGCTGTTCTGTAGGGACAACTATCTCTACAGAGCCAAGCAATGTGGTTCTTCCAGACAGTGAAGGAGTCCACACGTTCGTCTTTCTCTTCTGTTACGTCGATCCGGCCCCAGCTCCCTCCCAGCTCACTTCACATAGGTGGATCCTGCCGAGTGGAGAAGTGGTGAGCGATGGATCGTCTGGGGAGCGACACACAGGTTCTGTGGCTGCCACCACTGGACCCAATGGAACAACACAACAGCAACGGCTTACTCTCCTGATTGAGAAGTTGACCTACTCTGATGCCGGTACATACGTCTGTGAATTCGACGATAACGGCCAGACAATGAGAGCATCAACCGACCTTGTTCTTGAAGGTAATTGGTAGTACATAATGAGCTCTAGAGTCAGTGTTCAACACTGAAACTCTCAGCGGATAACTACAGAAGTTTTATAAAGTGTGCTGGACTAAACTATATATACTCTCTACTCAGTTGATCTTCAGGTGCTGGGGAACGAGAACGTCGAAATCATGCCTGGGACCTCTCAAGTGGGATTCAACTGTGAGATGTCCCTCTATCTCCACCCTGACGAGGACCTCCAGTGGCTCCACGACGGAGAGAATATATCAGACACAGACCGACACACTGTCTCCTACATCTCTTCGAGCGGAGTCGGGCAGTTTGGGGAACGAGATACTGGGCCAAGCAGAGTCATACATCTACTCATTTCAGAGCCCCAGATGTCTGATTCAGGTCGCTACACCTGTGCCATACGGGGTACCAACGTCTCACAGGATATCCAGCTCTCATTTACGGCCGGTTAGCTTATTATACCGACATTGGTATCATTTCAGTCACAAAAGATTGATTTACTTTGAATATTTCACTTGCAGAGACCGATCCACCTACACCAACAGATCCTCCTACTCAAACGGACACTCCAGAAACCACTTATGCTGTAGACGTGCTGGAAATTGGGTCCCCACCCCCATCTGTAGCACCTGGAGCGTTTTCAAGCTTCAGGGCTCTGGGATGCTTTGTTTCCCCCTCTGTATACGGAGGGTTATCGGGACTGCCTACTGTTCCAGATTCATCCCTTTTTCAGTCGCAGTGGATCCTCCCCAATCAAAGTGCCTTGACATTTTCACAGGGTCGATTCGATTTATATTTCTTTCGCAATTCTGATGAGCTTCCGTTAGTGATGAACATAACGAGAGTGTCATACGCCGACGAAGGAGTGTATACCTGCCGATTCAGGGATGCGAGTGGATCTACCTGGTTCTCGAACACAACAGAGCTCTTACTATCAGGTATATATTGCTGGCACAACTAGCTTTATAACAGGAAGTGCATATTATTAGTGTAATTGTATCATTTCACTTGTAGTGAATTTGGAAGCCTATGATAGCGACATCTCTACATTTGACAATGCAACTGGAGTGTCCCTGAGCTGTGAGATGTCCCTGTACCTGAGACCTGATGAAGATCTCCAGTGGTTCAGAGATGGACAGTCCATAACCAGCGGCTCTGGGAGACACTCTATCACCTACACTGATGGGAGTGGACAGGGGCAGTTTGGAGGGGATGCAATAGGATCTAGTCGGATATCGACTCTGGTTATTTCACAGCCTCAGACGACAGACTCTGGGACCTACACCTGTGCCATCAGAAATACCCAACACTCCCAGGGCATTGAGCTGGCTGTGGAGAGCAGTGGTAAGTCATTCACTGCAGCATGAAAGAATCAGCGTAATATTTCCTCCCTCTCTGTTCATTTAGCTGAAGACACTTTTCCATCATCATCTAATGCAGCAGAAACACCGTCTGCAACACCAGCACCGTCTGTTTCAATGTCTACACCATCCAATTCAATGACAACACCTTCCGATTCAGTAGAAGACTCTCAGCTGTTGTTTGTGTACATTGGCAGTGGAGCAGCACTGTTCATAATAGTGGTGGTACTGACAGCCACAGTGCTCTGTATTGCTGTCATGCTGTTCAAAAAAGGTAAGCCGCCTATCGAGCCAAAGGAGAGTGTGTGAGCTATTAGTTATTACAGGTGAATCAAAGAAGCCAGCTGCTGTGGAACCTGTGTATGAGTTTATTCCAGAGGAAAAACAAGACTCCAGGGCTCACATAATGCTTGGAGCCAACGTAGCCTATGACAGAAAACCAGAGGAAAGACTAGACTCCTGGGCAGTCATCATGACAGAAGCAAACGTATCCTATGACAGGAAACCAGAGGAGAACCAAAACTCTAGGGAAGACGTCATGCTTCAGGCCAACGTAGAAAACTCCAGGGCAGCCATCACGACTGAGGCTAACCCAGCTTATGAAGACCACTATACTAACACTGCATAAGACAATCATTTATCCTTCAGCTTTTTACATTTTGCGTGATTGGCAGATCCAAAATCACAAGACATTTCCAGCACGTCTTTCGGGCGGAATTTTCTGTTATCGTCTTTCGTACGTCGTGTAAGTGCGCATGCGCGGCTTTGTACGCGCTTCAAAATTTTACGCATTTTCACACACGGTGCCTCGCCGATCGAGCTAGAGAACTCTCCTCCATTCGACGGCATGCGCTGCAACCTTCGGTGACTGACCAAGGCTGTACCTCTTGACTTCCCAATCTTCATGGTTCCAAGGTGCAACTTGCAAATATCTACGCCTAGGATTGTGCACGTACTGCTGCATGCCAGCTGCCTGGTGGACCACGACTGACGACTTGAAAGCATATGGTAAGTACCGTCTGCTCACCTGCTCACCGTTCTGCCAATGTACAATACGCATATAACGGCGACAGGTAGATCTGTCTTGCTTCACGAAAGGAAAGCTGTGCGCTGACGGCACGTTATACAGCCCGGGCAATCCCAAGTTGGGTCGCTCCCGCTCGCCAAGAATGTTCAACATTTCCACTAGTATGTATTATTATATATTTTTGGGTATCTGGATGACATTGTGTCAATGAAAGAGAGGAGATGCAGGCTGTGATTATGAGAGAGGTGTACCACAGTGTCGACGTCACCGGTCAACGGTAATACTGCGCATGCGTGCCCGTGGGGAAATTAAATTCGGACCGCGGAAAGCTACTGCCGCTGGTGGCTGCTCTTTCGTTGCCGGTGTGAGTAGAATTCTCTCCCCTTGTGCGCCGAGGTAAGGTTGAATTGGGGTTCCCCGAGAGTGGGACAAGAACTGTTTAGCTATAATTAAACGCCAATCAATCACCCCCTGATTACGGACGGATGCAGCGCGTGTAACATGAGTCTATCAAGCCTAGATGGGCCGTCTTTGTCAATACATTCGCGACGGTCTTGCCTATGCGGGCAGCTATTCTTCCACCCAGTACAGGTGGACTCGTCTCTATAGCCAGACAGCACTGCAGCAATGAAACCACTTTGTACACATCGCTATATATATACCCGGGAAGAGAAATGCATGGTCAACCCCAATGCGAACCAAGTTGTAATAACCTACTGCATGAAAATAGGGGTATGTGTAGGAAATCATAGTGTTCATTTGTGCTGTGTGGAGCCACGTCAGCCTTTATGTTGGGGTAGCAAGGGGATGGTAGATGTTATAGGCCACTGTAATGGCACACACAGGCATTTTCTTAGCGCCAAACAGTGTCTCCAAGTCTAACATAGTCTGTATGCAGGCAGCTAATTTCTGTATCACGAGCTTACCTGCCAATTGTCATACTTGCCGAGGTTCTTTGTCCATAAAAGGTCCTTGAGAATGTCGTTACAATACGGACAAATCCATATTGGTTGGAGGCACTCCACCCTCTCTTCTCCTGGAAGGATGGATATACAGTGTCTTGCCATTGTGTTAGCTCTCTTACTATCCACAGGAGTAGCAAGTGAGTCTTTATTAAACTGTCTCTGTGTATTTTACACATGATGAATCCTATATATCACAGATGTGACTATCCAACCGTTCAATAGAATACAGCCATCAGAATCTTCACCGATAGTTTTTGCAATTTTGAGATGTGACATATTTACTAACTTCCAACTGAATACCACAACATCAGTAGAATCACGGTGGAACATAACTACGGGGGCAGAGGTCGAATATCCTGGAACCAGTGATCATAAATATGAGCTGAGCCAGGGGGAAAGTACTGAGAACGACTTGGAAACCCTGCTGGTTGTCCGTAACCTCCAATACAGTGATGCTGGTGTGTACACTTGTAGAGCCAGAGACAATCGTGACCCTTCAAACCGTGGGCCATGGGTAGAAGCACAAGTTCATCTTCAACTTCTGGGTAAGCTTCTTTAAGCATTAGCAGAGTTGCCACTTACCACTTTCTATAGTGGAATTGGCTTCTATTGAAACGGAGATCTCTACATTTGACAATGCAACTGGAGTGTCCCTGAGCTGTGAGATGTCCCTGTACCTGAGACCTGATGAAGACCTCCAGTGGTTCAGAGATGGACAGTCCATAACCAGCGGCTCTGGGAGACACTCTATCACCTACACTGATGGGAGTGGCGAGGGGCAGTTTGGAGAGAACGCAATAGGATCTAGTCGGATATCGACTCTGGTTATTTCACAGCCTCAGACAACAGACTCTGGGACCTACACCTGTGCCATCAGAAATACCCAACACTCCCAGAACATTGGGCTGGCTGTGGAGAGCAGTGGTGGTAACTATGTAACTGCAAATTATTGTCTCTTTACTCTGTATGTCTTTTTTTACCTACATTAACGAAGACCGTAAGACATCACTTCCTGGTAGTCCTGAAACACCATCCGCAACACCAACACCAGCAACACCATCTGCTTCAATGTCTACACAATCGACAACATCATCCGATGCGTTTCTGTACATTGGCAGTGGAGTAGCACTGTTCATAATAGTGATGGTACTGACAGCCACAGTGCTCTGTATTGCTGTCATGCTCTTCAAGAAGAAAGGTATAATGTTTTTATCCAAAGTGTACTATTACAGTGGAATTGCATCTACAGGTAAAGCAAAGAAGCCAGCTGCTGTTGATCCTCCCGAGAAGGAACAAGCAGTCATCATGACTGAGACCAATGTAGCCTATGAAAGAAAACCGGAGCTCATAAAAGGTATTGATTGAACCAAAAGCAGAGTAAGTGTTGTATTGGAACACATGCAGGTGAAGCAAAGTACCCAGCTGCTGGTGATGATCCTGTGTATGAGTATATTCCAGAGGATTCCAGAGCAGACATTGTCATGCTCGAGGCCAACGTAGCCTATGACAGAAAACCAGGGGAAAGACAGCACGTCAGGACAGGCATCACGACAGAAGCCAACGTAGCCTATGACTGGAAACCAGAAGACTCCAGGGCAGCCATAATGCTAGAGGCCAACGTAGCCTATGAGACAAAACCAGACGGAAGACAAGACTCCAGGGCAGACATCATGACAGAAACCAACGTAGCCTACGACAGAAAACCAGACTTCAAAAAAGGTAACCTATTGAGCAGCAGAGTATAAGCTATTATAGGGAGAATAATTGCATGCAGGTGAAGTAAAGAAGCCAGCTTCTGTTGATCATGAGTACGAGTTTATTAGAGAAGACTCCAGGACAGCCATCATGACTGACGCCAACCCAGCTTACGACTGAAAACCAGGATAATGCACTATACTAGACAAATATTGTCTTATAATTTTGCTCTCATATAGCATTCTTTTGCATGGTGTATAATGTTTGTATAAACCTTTAATAGTGATTTTGGTACAAGCATAAGATAGGATCTACAGACACATAAATCAAGCTTGTTTATGGTGACATGACACAGAGTGTGATTTCAACGAAAGTATGGGATGACTGTAAACATTAAATCATAATAAGAGGTTTCCTATTGGTGAGTATCTATACAGACACATAGCTAAATCAAGCTTGTTTATGGTGACATGACACAGAGTGTGATTTCAATGAAAGTATGGGATGATGAATGTTACCTAATAAGAGGTTTCCTATTGGTGAGTATCATATGCATGTTTTGAACATTTCGTTGACTTCCTGAAAGGTGGCGCGGTGGTGCAAGTCAATGGCCCAGCACTGTTGCATGATCTGGTACACCGCTTGAGGACAACCATTCGGCCTTGTTGGGGGGCAAAAGTGCTCCGTTTGCAATGCATTGTGGATTACTTCTTCATCGGAGAGGTGAGGGTACGGCAGCTGCTTGGCCAGAGTGAACATCTCCCACATGGTCACACCAAATGCCCACACGTCTGACTTCTCCGAGAATTTCCCGTCGAAGCTTTCCGTAGCAATCCAACGGATTGGGAGGAGTTTGTTGCCACGGATGCAGTAGTAATGGGATTGGTAAGTACTCGTGTTCACACCCAAATCCGACAGCTTCACGAGAAAGTTTTTTCCGACGAGACACTTTCGAGTGGAAATGTCGCGGTGAATGTAGTCGAATGCCGCAAGGTATTGCATGGCAGAGGAAATCTGTGACGTCATGTACAAGAGTGTGGAGGTGGCAATTTGGGTGTTACTGGTGGGACTAGTGGAGGAAACAATCTCCGAGTAGCTCTGCAGGAACTGGTTCAGGTCTCCTCCCTCGGTGTACTCCATCATGATGAAGGCAGAGTCGTGGACGCAGACTCCCAGCAGACGCAGGACGTTGGGGTGTTTGATGTGGGACATGAACTGAGCCTCCTTCTCAAAGGCCTCTCTCTGGCTCTCGGACGGATTCGACCGTAGTTTCTTCACTGTCACACGGGTCTGACTATCTTCTCCGTCATTGCCTGTCTTAATCAGCTGCCGGTTCCTAAGACTCAGGCCTCTCGTATAGGCCAACACCACCTCCCCAAAGTAACCACTAGCTACGACCTCAAGCTCTGTAAAGGTTTCTTTTGAGAGTGAGGAAGTGGCCCAAGGGAGCTCATTGAGACCTAGGAACAGCGGAGGTACCTGGAGCCTGGGAGAGCTGTCACACGAACTAATGCCTAGCCCATGCTCGTCAGTGAAATCAGACATTTGGATGGCATCTTGATAAACACCCGCGGTCAAGACTGAAGGACAGACGTACAGTGGATTGAAGACTGAGATTTCGTGACGACTACTTCTGAACTTTACTGTTTTAAACCGCATAGACTCCCTCCTCCTGAAATACACCCACAGCAGCATGAGGGCTGCAAGAACGAGCGAGCAAAAGATAATCACTACGAGGAGGACTATCAGAAGCAAGAGCGGAGTGTTACCTTTCCTGCCCTCTTTGGCTGACGCTTCTATACCACCTATGTTTATTTCGGGGTCAAGAAGGGTACTTAGCCTAGAGGCGGAGTAAATGTGAGACGATGGACTGGGACTGACAGTAGAGAACGAAGCACTTGCTGATAACGAATGTGGAGTTGTTCTAGTAGCAAATGCAGACACAGTGGGTGATAGCGATTGTAGTGTAGTCGGTGAAGATTTGAAGCTTGTGGTGAGCTTTTCATGACTGCTGTGTGCAAAAGAGCTTACTAGAGTTACGATGTTAGAGTCTTTAGAAGGAGTGAAGCCCATGCTTGTTGGTTGAGAAGTACCAGTCACTACAATACTAAGGATTGAGTTTGTTTTCAGAGTTGAAGCTATACCGGGGTCACTTCTTTGGGAATTGGGTAACGCAGACGCTGTGAATTCTGTAGGGATATCCCGTACTCCTGAACTTGTAGGTGAAGGTAAGTTAGAGGCGAGTACTGTGCTAGGGATGTAAGTTGAAGCTCGCGTACTGAGTTGTGCTGAACTAAGGACTCCAATGTTAACTGAAGAGCTCAAGAGTACCAACTCGGTAGAGGTATGGGTATAAGAAGAGACTGACAGGGAATGTATGAAGGTAATGCTTGAGCTGACAGAAGGACGACTTGGAATGGTGCTAAATACCATGGCTTGGCTGGAGAAGGTGTCCATTGAAGACAGTGATGCAGTAGAGTCAATGGTTAGGACTGGGGTGGGCTCACTCAATACATATAGGGTGGGATGGGTATTGGGAGCCAGGAGTGTAGAAGTGGTAAGGGTAGAGGTGATGTGTGAAGCTAAACTGGATTTGATAGTATGGCTGGTGACTGGGGCGAGCAGAGTATGGATTGGAGTATGACTTGCGAGGAAAGATGTAGAACTGCTCAGAGGCCTGATTGGAGGTGTCGAAGAGGTAGATGAGATGTATGCAGTCGATTCTGTGTCTGCTGACTTAGTCTTATAGCTGATGACCGAAGCGAGTGAGGTGTAGGGGGACATGTCACCATGTGGTGGAAGACTATAGGTTGCAGTAGGGAGAGGTGTACTGGCTATTATGGAAAAGATAGTAGGAGTGTTAGAGCTGACCAGAGGCACTGAAGAGGTGGATCGAATGTATGGAGTCGACTCAAGGTCTGCTAAACTTGACTCGGTGGTAAAGCTATTGGCTGGAGTGTAGGGGGGAATGTCATGAGTGGTGGAGGACTGTTGACAATGGCAGGAACTTGTGGTAGAGCTGTAGCAGCTATTGTGGGAGTGCTCAGGGTTAGAGAACTGACTGGAACCACTGAAGAAGAGACAGGAAAGAGCGCGGTAAACTCATTGACTGTGTGGGAGGTAGGTCATTATAGTAGTAACATGAGCTGGTGAACCAAACTATCATACTATAGCCCCCCACCACTGAGATCAGTCCTTAATGTGGCTTTAATGCCAGTGTTGAGGCCCTAGACATTTTTAAAGTGTGGAAAAAGTGTACATACCTGGAGGAGGTTCGAAAATACAGTCAGTAGATGTCGTCGGGTTAGCATCACTGGCATTCGGTGCATCCCTGAAGACAACTTCACCCACATGAACCCACTGCATGCTCGGAGCGTCGGTAAATGCGATCAAGATGTGCCAGAAGGGGTAGGGCGGCTCTCCGGTTATGACTGGAACGGAAATATTTGAGAGGCAGCCACAAGTTCCCGCGGGTGGACTGTAGACCATTAAAAAGTCATTTTCATCATACACGAACTGGGAGTGGTTGTCTGCAAAGAGTCCGATGTACGGAGCACCGATGCCCCATTCCGGACACAGAAACAGGTCCATTTCTATCGAGGTGACAGTCACAGGGTTTTCGAACTCAAACGTGAGAACGACGTGCTCGAAATGAACGTTTGCGTCATAGGGGCTCTTCATGAGTGTGACGAGATCAGATGCCCAGCTATGAGAGGGACGTGTTGATGTGTGGCACGAGACCATCGAGGAGACAGTTGGTGTCCACATTAGACCCGTTGACTGATTGGTTTCCCGATGGTGTCAAGAGGACAGGTTTCGGCAGCTCTGCACCTGCAAAACGTCAAGGCAACTCTTACACTACGAGTGGTTGTCAAGGCAATGCTAAACGGTAGCCCAAACAGACACAAACACATCCAATTTTAAAACTCTACTCAGTCATGCCACACATGCAACAAAAGCCATAGGCTGCTATATATCCCAACTGCATTGTCTGGAGTCTTGTCAGGGATATACTATTCTGCTAGCAAGAATTACGGTAAACTGTAACCGATACTTACCGACTAGCACCATCACCGAAAAGAAGAGAACCCCCACCTACATTACAGATAAAAAATAAACATACTCAGACGAGGTATTTGGTTGGGACAAATTGAATGTAACTTTGGGAGGCAGTTGTCAAGTAATGTATGTCTGGGTCAATCTCACCAAGGACAACAGAGAGAAGGCTGCAACTGGCTTTGCTAGATACAACTTGAACAGTGGAGAATGTGTCAAATGCCACTTGTACAGGCTATTCATTTGTATACTTTTCAACTATGCTCTCTCAGCGCATACTCATCTACTCGCAAGGCTTTTCACCATTCTAGTAGCACAGTAGCGTATATACAAAATTGAGGCTTTGTGTGTGTGTGTGTGTGTCCAGATCTCAAAAGGTTTGTCAAGCAGCAGCAAAAATGAGGTGTCATAGGCTCTTGCCAACTCATATACTCCTTCAACTTCTTCCTTTTACAGCATATCGTGTATTATATATCTACATTGCGTGTTGCATTGGCATTCATCTTGCAAGGGTTTTCACCATTCTAGTATATAGCACAGTATATTATAGTAGCGTACAAGATCGAGGCTTTGTGTGTGTGTGTGTGTGTGTGTCCAGATATCAAAGGGTTGTCAAGAGCATATACAGCAGCAAGCCAAAGATGAGGTGTCATAAGCTCTTGCCAACTCATATACACATACACCCCTCCTTCAACTTTCACCTTTTACACCACATCGTGTATTATAAACATTGATGTTGCATCCATTCATCTGATCAAAGTACGGTGCATTGCATTGAGTACGCACTTCTGATAGATGTTTGATTCAATCGCACATTATTGTGTACATTGGGATCTATGTGGTTTCAATGTGAAGCCTATATAGCCCTAGCAGTCCCAAGCGGTTTAAAATTTAAATTTGTCCCTGATGTGGGTCTTACTCCTCATGTTGCACCTTAAAGCATGCGTGTGGTTACTACACAGATTAAGAGACCCCCAGGACTCCACCAGTCCAAACAGTGTTTCAGAAGAAACCCCTATGCTGGGAGTATTTCCTGCCACAATGTCTCGGATGCACTAGATTCACAGGGTAACATTATACCCGTGTGCAGAACATTACCCAAAAACGAGCGTTTGTTGAATGTTATTGAGAATGCAAACATGAAGTCTAACACACAATAGTCGTTACGTGGGTGTATGATCCTAACGACGGTTGCACATGCAGAGATTTGCTACATACTTTACATACACATTCAACGACTGATTATACAGATGGCACCATTTTGAATCTCACTTGCATTATATTATTGCACTACAGACATATCAAGCATTTATACAACCCAATCACACAAGATAATGTTGTAATGTGCAACCTGCAGTTCGTAATGGGTCTGCTGACAACATGTGTCCAGCATAATCGTGCAAGCATTCCATTTTGAAAATTCTTATGCAAAGTTGGTTGCAATCATTATTATGAGCAAAAACGTAGCTAGATGTAGCCATCTGCGTAACCGCAAACACAATAGGGCATCGCTGCCGCCAGCTGGAAAACTCACCGGAAAATGAGACCACATGCTTCAGTTCGTCTCTCTCTCTCTCTGCGCGGAAATGTTGCAGCTAGTCTAGTCTTCCTGCAGAGGAGCTCACTCAAAGAACTGGATCGTCTCGTGCGGAGCCCTCCAGCTAGCCTTCGGCGGGAGAGGCAGCTGAATTTATAGCAGATATTTACGCGCATGCGCATGGTACGGCGGGCCAAAACGATAGCGATTCGAGAATGCAAAACACAATGGGATCAGAAATAACTGTGTTGCTAGAGACTTGTGCATTTGAATCTTCAAATAGCTGTTAAATCTGCCCTGAGTCAGATTTGGCAGTGATACCGAGATGTAATTGCTCTCCCAGCCTCTGAGCTAGCTGCTGCACCAGGATGGACTCTCCTCTCCAAACTGAAGACCAACACAGAGACTTCTACTGCCTCCTGTGCAGCAACAGCACCCCCATCACATGTGGTAAATTGGTACAAAGCTGTTGTGGTTTCTTCAACAGCTTGCTCTCCTCAACCCACTTTTCATTTTGGTTGCTCCCACCTTTTGCTCTCTTTGACCAAGCACATTTTTTGTTGTTGGTGAGGGTCCATTAGAATAACCCAAACAGGACAAACAAAACACCAATACACACGTTGCAAGGGGGAGGGGGGGAGTAGACATACACAAGTCTAACACTTCTGGTTTTGGTCACTGTGGTTTTGATTGAGACCAATGTGTGGGTAGCCAGTCACAATATCTTTGATAATAGCAGCAGCAAAGTTCTGCAGTCTGTGTGGTGCTTCTAGCAGTAACAGTTGGTGCATATTATGTAGCTAGAAACTTGCTAAAACGTGAGGGTGAATATAATTATAGTGACTGAGTGTGGAGAGAGTGACGCACAGTAATAGTAGGCTGATGTGTAATCTGGTCTGTCTGTGTATTATCATATAGGTGTGTGTGTGTGAGACGCCATCTCAGGGGATACTTTTCAAAGACACTGCAATGAGTACAGCACTGAAAGACGCCACTGGTCGAGGAGTTCAGCAGCACATCCGTGTCGATGATGTATATACATCCATGCACTGAGCCCACACTCCAGGGAGATACACAATATGCAAACAGAGGCACTACTTCACCCAGTATATACAAACAAGGGCAACGAGACCACAAGCTAATAAGGTATATGCAATAATTTTTTCATGAACTTAGTCGGTAAAATGTAATCCAGTTTGGTGTATACTCTTATTTAATCGGCTCTTGGTGGTGCTGATTACAGTTGCTGGTATTTGAAAACCAGACAAAACACTACTAAAACACTGTAATTAACCAACAGACAAATGTACCCGCTCTACAGTGACACAACGAAGACGCTTGCTGAAAATAATTATACTACTGTGTGCTTGTAGATATAATATACCTTAACATTTCTGTGGTCTCAATGGTCATAACCACGTGGATTATAGCCAACGCAGTCAGTTGAGGCGTCCTGACATGCGCCAACAATCTTTTGCTGTAACGATGCAGTCTTGTTTCCCATGTATGTTTATGTGCTCGTGTGCTAGAGAGAGAAGTGGACAATGCAGGCATGTCTGTGGCCTCTTCACACAGGCTCCGTATAATTATGCGTCCACCTGTTTTAGACTCTGGGAACGGCAAAGTATGGCTTACATACAGCCATACACCTTGCACAGTAGTGGGGTCCAGCTATACTGACAAGTATAACACATGTAGAACAAAAAAACCATGTGATGCCACATGTACACGTACAGGAAAACAGTCATTGTTAGTGTCTCGTCCATAGTCAGCAGGGGGGCAGGAAATACCTGATGTAGCTTATGATACAGGGGTTTCAGGTCCTGATTACTACAAGAATTTTTTAGATTCCTAGCGTTGACGCATTCATGCATTGTTTACACAGAACTGAAGTTTTCTTCAGAACGAACGCACAACGCATGTTTTTTGTGAGCGTCATATGCGGCAGATGATTGCAATAAAAAAAAGTTACACTAACATTACGGTGCTGTGACAATGCCCTTTTCGTCGTACTCTGATATTATATATACACATATGGGACATTCAGACGGCTATCTTAGTCTCGTTTCACTCGCCATCTATGTGTGTGCACTATTAATTTTTATGTTGCTATGTCTAACTTAATTAAAATTAAGTACTAGTGTTATTAATGTTGACCATTAATGTATTGTACACATTTTAAAAGTACTGAAACAGAATGCGACAACAACTTCTGGTGAGCGAATGCGAGAGTCAGACAATTGCATTCTTCATACGTCGTGTGTGGACAATACAATTCTGCATCAGATGTTCGTATGTTGTGCATAACTAATAGTTGACTATTATGTATTCTTAAACCAAATTAAAATACAAACAAATGCACAATTTTTGATGAGTGAATGCGAGATGTCAGTTCGGTGTGTGCGTTTCACTCACATCTTATGTTTGCACTAATTATGGTGTCACTATAAAATAATTATAAGTACTAGCGTGTCTCATTTGACAATTCATGTGTTGTTCTGTTTACTCTCAACGTCATCATTGAGACTGGAAAGTGTTGCTGCACCAGCTGCTCCAAGGTAAGCTTACAGATCCATTATTATCGTTATACCAAATTAAAGTGAACGCGTCTTTGCTGAGCGAATGTGAGAATCATATGCGGACATTATAGTGTGTGTGACAACGCCCCTTTACTTTAGATGTATACGTAAGGAAACATAAGGTAAGCATTCATTTATAGTGAGCGAATGTGAGTCATATGTGGCAAACGATTATTTTGTGGTATGTAAAAAATTACAGTGTGTGTGTGTGACAATGCCGTTCCCGTCAATGGGTAAACCGTTCATTCAGATGACTAGGCTCACTTCACTCGACAATTGTGTGCACTAATTAATTATGGTGTGCACTATAAATAATTATAAGTACTAGTGTTATAATCAGTTGACAATTCATGTGTTGTTCTGTTTACTCTCAACGTCATCATTGAGAGACTGGAAAGGGTTGCTGCACCAGCTGCTCCAAGGTAGCTTACAGATCCATAATGTTACAACAAAATTAAAGTACTAGAATGCATTTTGGTGAGCGAATGTGAGAGTCATATGCAGCAGACAATTGCAATTCTTATTTTTAAAAGTTACATAAAACATTACGGTGTGTACTTGAACGAATGCAAGGCATTTATAGTGCGCTAATGTGAGCAACTAGGGCTCACTAATTCGCCAATCTTATGTGTGCACATGCTGTGCAATACACATTAAAGTACTGGAACGAATGCAACGCAGTTTTTGTGAGCAAATGCGAGTGTCACGTGCGGCAGACACATTCCAATTTCATTCTGTGTCGTCATAACACATTACAGTGTGTGTGACAATCCCTTTCTTGTCAGATGGAAACGTAATAATGGGAAACCAGACGACTAGTCTAGCTTCACTTGACCATCTCAAGCTGTTCACTATAACTTAGGTTGTGGACTGTAACTACCGCACACCACATACTCCGTAATATTAAAATACTCTTCTCTACCACAGCAATTTGTTAATGACAACCTAACCTCTGATTAAGCCCACGGTGAGATTGTAGACTCCACCATACCGCCCCTTCCTTCCTCTCCATCTCCATTCTACACGTATATACACTTGCAGTGATCACAGGAAGGCTGCTGTCACAACATGGGGTAGTCAAGGGCACATCAAAGGCCACTTAGGAATAGGCCACTTAGAAATGCAGAGCATGCAATCACACTTGTAGGCTCTTTGACAAGGTGCACAGCATGCACAACACACTCAGTGTCCAAGGTTCAGTGGAGTGCAGAGCAAGCATCGCACCACCCAGGACACCTAGCGCCATCAGAACATGTTTGCGTGGCCCAAAAGGTTCTAAGGTTTGACCTAGGGCAAAGGAGTCCCACACAGCAGTCCTCAAAAGTAGAGTGTTGAAGATTAAAACCCTTTGAACGCCATGGCTATCCTCTAAAGCAGAATTGTGTATTAGTGCCTTAATAAACCCCCATATAAATTCTTATGGACTTATGGAGGCTCTGGACACTATTTGTGTCTGTGGCTTGTTAAGTGTTAAAGGTACATGTGTACACTTAAGGATACACGGAAATCAAAATTACCTGCTTCCGTGCTGTTCATCAAGATCTGTTGTGTATGCATAGAAACGCCACATTTTATACACACAAAAATCTTCTGTGCCGAAGATCCGTTGCGTATGCATGGAAACGCACAAAGAGCAACTTTATCAGACAGAAATGGAAATCCTGCATGTACGCCTGCTCACTCTGTGGCATAAAAATTGCTTGTTTGGGGCTATAGATAGTAGTGTGAGCATCCACATGCTCACGTGGGCTATCCCACCACACATGCAGATACGTATGACGACGTAATGCACATATGGTTTGGGGCTATAGATAGTAGTGAGCATCCACATGCTCACGTGGGCTATCCCACCACACACACAGACATGTATGACGACCTAATGCACATAGGTTTGGGGCTATAGATAGTAGTGTGAGCATCCACATGCTCACGTGGGCTATCCCACCACACACACAGACATGTATGACGACGTAATGCACATAGGTTTGGGGCTATAGATAGTAGTGTGAGCATCCACATGCTCACGTGGGCTATCCCACCACACACACAGACATGTATGACGACCTAATGCACATATGGTTTGGGCTATAGTATAGTAGTGAGTCATCCACATGCTCATGTGGGCTATCCCACCACACACACAGACATGTATGACGACCTAATGCACATAGGTTTGGGGCTATAGATAGTAGTGAGCATCCACATGCTCATGTGGGCTATCCCACCACACACACAGACATGTATGACGACCTAATGCACATATGGTTTGGGGCTATAGATAGTAGTGAGCATCCACATGCTCACGTGGGCTATCCCACCACACACAGCAGACATGTATGACGACTAATGCACATTGGTGCACCCACCACAGCCGCACTGCACGCTCCGTGACACTTCGCAACAGACTCAAAATGTGTACAATACTTACAACAACAAATGGGGAATGATGGAATTCTATACATAATAATTTGTTTTCTGTATAATTAGTACAAAGATTGGGGGATCACAAACAGCTCCGTCACAAAACATAAATACAGGCAAAAAAACACTCGACCCGTTTACAAATGCATTTGAAGTAACTTGTGAAGCTCGGAAAAAGTTGCTCGCTGCTTCATGTTGTGTACCCAGCAACATTGAATGATATCGAAGACGGGCTGGGTACAGGCCGCAGGCTTTGAAAGGAGCTGGCAGGATTGCTCGCCCAAGGAATTCTGGATCACCTCCCCAACCACCTCTTCGTCGGCGAGGTAGCCATACGGCAGCTGCTTGGCCAGAGTGAACATCTCCCACATGGTCACACCAAATGCCCACACGTCTGACTTCTCCGAGAATTTCCCGCTGAAACACTCGGTGGCCATCCAGCGAATGGGGAGCAGCGTTTTCCCTTGGATTGGGTAGTAGTGGGACCTGTAGCGGCTCATGTCCACGCCCAAATCGCCGACTTTGACGACCGTGTTGGCTCCGATGTAGCAGTTGCGAGTGGCCAGATCGCGATGGATGAAGTTCAAACTCGCGAGGTAGCGCATGGCATTGGCGATCTGTGACGCAACGTACACCAGCGTGGGAAGTGGTGACTTGATTCTTGCTAGACGGAGTGACGATGGGAACGATCTCGGAATAATTCAGCAGGAAACTGTTCAGATCGCCTTCCTCCATATACTCCATCATGATGAACACGGGGTTGAAGTAGCACACCCCAAGGAACCGCAGGACATTGGGGTGCTTCAGCTGTGAAAGAAACTTCGTCTCTCTGTTGAAGGCCTCCAGTTCGACGTGGAATTGAGAGGGATGGGGACAAAACCTTTTGACGGCTACGAGGAGGGCTAGGTCCCGGTTGTCGTCTGTTTTACTCAGACCAATGGACTTGAGGCTTAGGTTGAGAGTGTTGGCTTGAATCGTCTTCCCAAACTGTCCGATCCGCAGCTGGCTTATCTCCTTGATGTTATCGCCCGAGACCTCGATGATGGGTCTGAATCCTTCTGGAAGTGTGCTGAGGGTGGGGTAAACGGGAGCTAAAAACTCAAAATCTTCAATAGTGTCCAACCCTTGCCCACCACCGTGACTAGCGAAATCCGACGGATCGATCCGTTCACTGTATATGCCTTCATTGACGACAATGCGCCGGCTAAGGATCTGTTCAATGTCACCAGAAGCTGTATGGAACGAAGACTTCATGTCAATGTAGGTGTCTTGAGGATCGTAGGTGTCTTGAGGCTCCAACGTTTCACGGTCAATGGTACTAGGTACCTGTGGCTCACCGTCACAGCCATTCGCGGCATCCAAGAACCCTGTACTCGACACTGAGAAAGCAACGGAGGCGGTCTCAGAGTGTACGGGAATATCTATGCAGCTTGGCACTTTGCTTTCGTTCAATAGGGGCAACATATGTTCGGCTGGAATATGCTCATAGAGACCAGACTGTCGGTCGTAATAGGGAAGAGACGACGAACTGTCTTCAGACAGTAGTAGAGGATTTGTACCAGACATTAGCTGGTTGCTGCTAGACATTAGTATGTTGCTGCTGGTCGGGGAATCGGTGGGGGTTGGGGGTAAGGGTAAGGACTGGAAATCGTGCTCGTCTGGTGTACCACCAACCCTGCTTCGACGGATTTTTGAGCGATAGCGGAAGGAGATAAAGCACAGTACGGCGAACAACAGTCCGAGGGCCAGTACCATAGCTGCAGCTACGGCTATGAAAATCAAGTCTAGCGGTAATGGAGAGGAAGGGGAGGGTAGGCTGGTCATGATTGGATCTCCAACACCCGGAGGCAACGGATATTTCCCTGGAGTTTTGATACTTGAAGAAGAAGGAGGTTCTCTAATGGTAGTCACAGTCTCAGTCGGTGATATTGCACTGCTACTAACTCTTAGACTTGGTGACGGTGTCGCAGTCAGCGAGGTGAAGGGGGAGACAGTTGAAGATGACGAAGGGGCCAGGATCGAACTACTCATCGGCAGGGTGTCATTGCAAAACAAAGAGCCGTTCTCTGCCTCGGATACATTCAGGAATCTGACCTCTCCTATGTCCACCCACTCGATGTCCGGCTCATTGGCAAAGCTCACTATTACGAACCACACGATGTGAAATGCCCGTTTCGTAAGACGCACCTGGACCGTAGAGAGAGAATCACAGGAGGTTTTATAGACAGTAGAAGATACGGGTGGCCAGTATCCACGCAGTGGCCTGTTCAAATCAAAAACCAGATTTGTATCGTTGGAAGAATACACGTCAATGCCCGGAGCACCAATCTGCCATTCAGGACAGCGGACAAAGTCCAACTCAACAAACATTGGCGACACCGGTGTGTCAAACAGAAAGTTAGCAGCACATGATCGTACACGACAACACCACGAATGTGTCCATTCTTCCTTATTGTCACCAGATGTGATGCCCAGTTAGATGTACTTGTGTTGAGAATAGGAGATACACCGTCAACCATATAGCCGGCGGAAGGGTCACACAAAGGACCACAGGCCTTGTTAGTACTAGTAATGTTTTCTAGTTCTTCTGGACAACCCATGTTCACAGTAGATCCATTGACAGACTCTATTCCTCGAGGCACGACTTGGAGCGGTCGCCGTTCATAGGCACCTATAAAACAGATAAGACCAGCCAGTATACATAAACAGGAAAAGCGGGAAGAAACCCAAAAATGGTAGGAGTGCAGGAAGGAATTCACTCACATTCCAGGGGCAGGTGCATACAGTTTGTTTGTAGGTACGCCTCTATCATTTGGAGTTACTACTCCTTGCATGTGGGACAGGTATGACTTTGCCACATTTGAGTCACTTAGTCAAAATGCTAACATCCCGCTCCATTTGCCAATGGAAGCACTAAATCCTTGGCGCAGTGCACATGCATGTGCATCCACACACATGCACGAATACCGAATACCAATCAGTGCTCAGAGGTTACCTTCTAAAGTGATGGGGAATGTGAACTAGCTATGTAGGCAGCTACCCTGTTCTCACTGCTACATGGGATATGTAGCCACAGAACACGGTAAGACGCACACTGACCAGGTATACTGTACTAACCCTCACCGCTACTATATTGCCTGAGCCCTCCAAGTTTATTGTCCCGGAAAACCTACAAATGCACAGTCTGGAACAGCTAATTCAGTTACACTATATCAGTGTTGTTCACTAGGTCTGTTTGTCATAGACATGGGTCATGAGTACCGGAATCCTCCCAAAGCACAACCTCTAATTCCCCAGTGGTGTACAGCAGCAGATGGGGCAGTTGGTGATTCTAGCTTCTTCAGCTGTCTCAACTGAAGCCAACTTTGCCTGTAGTACTCCAGTGCAATGCTTTGAACTTCTCCTAGTCTTCGAGGGGTTATCAAGCATGTTGTGGTTTTGAATACTGTGAAACGGGTGCACCCATTTACAATGGGTATATAAGTTCAGTGTGTGGCACCTGATAAACACAGAATGTACCGGACAAAGGACAAATTGGCGTACCTGTCAGGAGAAATAGCAGACTTGAAAAGAGCAGGGCAACAGTAACTCTTTCCTAGAAAGGGAGTGAGATGGTGGGTGGTTATAATTCAGCGGTATCACGTATGTACACTGAGCCTGGAGTAGATCACAGTGCAGTGGAAATTCCAGTCCGTACTCTCCCAGATCTTATCTAAACCACAGGCGCATGCTCTCCATTCATGTGCAGCGCCAGAGAGCATTTTGGAGGCAACGTACACAAATGCGCGGCTGTTGGTGAGTGTGTCCTCTGAACTCAGCCAGCTGCGCTCCTGGAATGGAGCTCACTAGCACAAACTTGACGGCGCTGCTGCTGGAAACTCATCGTTTCGGCTAAAAACCGCGCAGCGATTAGTGCCGATCTGAAGCCGTCCCACCCTTCTTACGCTCTCGAAAGCGCGACAAAAATCGGGTAGTAGCCAAGTATTGTTTACGATATTCCCTCACAATAGAAACTCACCACTGACAATGCCGCGGGAAGAGCTCCCGAGCTCGCCCGCTGCCCCTTCCACTTGTCCACCATCTTCGCTCTACGTGACCTAACAGCGAGCGCTCGCACCGAGGTTGTCTCGCCGCGGGGCCGGCCACAGGATGTTATTGCGCAAGCTTAGAACCGCAAAACGCGCGCGAGTACAATAACGTTGCGCAACACGTTGCGTTACGTCGTATGTTATTGCGTTCGTTGGCAGTAGTTAAAAAATACACACATTTCTACTAGTTTTAAAACTTCAACATTGTAATAATTTCGTCGAATTTAGGACGGTGCCTCATGTCCACAGCCCAGCATTT